AGCCACCTCAGCCCTGGGTCCTCCAGACCTTAGGGCTACTCTGTTCTGCCACCCGAGACCCGCTCAAGGTCAACCTACTGATACAGGTACCACTCGCACGCTCCCAGTGAGGACTGAGGCGGCTTAGTGCCACACTCTGCATCCCCCACCCATCCAGGAGCTCCCAGCTGAAATCCAGACCCACTATAGCTGGGAGGGCAGAAGGACCATCCAGCAGCACTGGAGCAGGGTGGGAGATGCCCTTACCTGAGGAGCTTGTAGTAGAGGAAGCGGAAGGCCTCCTGCAGCAGCACAGAGAACATCACCCCAAATATCAAGAGCCCCTTCTGCAACAGCTCATCCTGGGGGTTGCTGGCTTTAACAGTGATAAACCAGATGAGGGCGGAGAGCAGCATTGATGCCAGCCAGAAGAAAGCCCTGCAAGAGAGAGCACACCTGCTGGCACCGGTGCTGTGCCAGGACTGGTGCCAGTACCAGTGCCATGCCTGTGCCCATCAGCACTATGCCCGCACCCCTCTGTGTTGGTACTGGCACTGGCAGCAGTGTCCCAGCCTTACCCATTCTCTTACCAGTACCAACGCCGTTCTGGCACCAGTGCTGGGCAGGTGGTGCCTGTACTGGTGCTGCTGCTGTGCCTGCACTCCTCCTCTTCTGGTAACCAGAACTGGCACCAGTGCCCCTGCCAAGCCCACACCAGTACCAATACCAGCGCTAGGCTCATATCCATGTCAGTACCAGTACCATACCCTACTGGTCCCATGGTGGTTCTGGTACCACTGCCCCTGCTGTGCACATGTCAGTACCACTATTGACTCTGTACTGGTACCAGTGCTCTACTGACCCCATGCTGTTACCAATACCAGTGTCTCTCTCCAGCATGCCCATGCCATGTGGTGACCACAATGGTACCAGTACTGGAGCCCCTGTTGTGAAATGAATGGCATCAGTATGAGTACTGGTGCCCCTGTCACGCCCACAACAGTACCAGTATGAGTGCTAGTGCCCCTGTTGTGCCTGCAATGGTACCAGTACAAGTATAGATACTGATGCCCCTGTCACATTCACAAGGGTAGGAGCACCAGTGCTGGTACTCCTGTCATGCTCACAACACCACCAGTATGAGTACTGGTGTCCCTGTCGTGCCCACGATGGTACCAGTAAGAGAACCAGTACTGGTGCCTCTGTCATGCAAGCAACAGCATCAGTACAAGCACTGGTACCGGTGCCCCTGTCATGCCCACAACGGCACCAGCACTAGTGCCCCCATTGCGCCTCTGCCAGTACCAGTCACGTTCCTGTCACGCCCATGCTGGTACTAGCACCAATACTGGTGCCATACCAGTACCGATACCAGTACCAGTTCCCCCTCCACGCCCACACCGTGCCCCTCCCGCAAGGGTACCAGTACAGGCACCGGTGAGGGACTAACCCAGCGATAAGAATGATGATGCGGAGCGGGTCGCGGGCGATGGTGAAGAGAAAGAGGCCGAGCGCCGGCCCGAAGGCGATGAAGGTGCACCCGAAGAAGATGGCAAGCGTCATGGCAGCAGAGACCAGGACCGAGGAGAGGACCCAGCGGCTCGGCTCTCCCCTCTCCCTCCCTCGCCTTTCCGGGGCCGTCTGACGTCACACGCCGGTAGCGCGCGCCGCCGGAAGGGACGCGCTGGGCGGGGAC